TTTAAATTCATCAAATTTTAAATCAGTATATTCAATATTGTTTTGATTATCCTCTTCTATATTTTTTTCAAAAAATTTTTTAATAGTTTGAATAAAATCTTTTTCATTACAAATTTTAATAGAAAAATCTGAATTATTAAGCCAAATATCAGCTTTTTTCATAATAAAATTTTTAGATTTCATATGAATACTATTGTAAACAATTATTCTTAAAGGATTAGGAAATTGAAAAATTGATCTTTCGAATTTTTGTATAATCTCAAAAGTGATAGCTTTTTCAATCTTTTTACATTGAATTAATATAATATTTTTTTTATAAGATACTATAATATCAATCCCGTTATCGCCTTGATTTACTTTAATTTCATAAGATAAGATTTTATTTAATTCAAGAATTTTTCAAATAATTCCTTCAAATTCATGTCCACTTTTATAATTTGATAACTAAAAATTAAAAAAAATTATTAATATAAGATTCCTATTCATCTCATGTTTAGCGGCTGACTTCGCAAAGATATAACTTTCAGACCAGCTCGGTTTCCAACAAAAATAGAATTATTCTCATAATTTAATAAAATTATCTTAGAATAAATTCCTTTTGTTTTGAGACAGCGTAACTTTAGAATCGAAAATATTAAGTAAATTGAACTTCGCCAACATACTTTTTTTAGATCTTCTTCTTTGGACATTTTGAAATATATTTAGTAGATTATAAGAATAAGTAATTTGATAATGAAAAATAAAAACATTTGCTTATTAATGATAACATGTTGTTAAAATTCTATTCGTTCAAAAGACTGAATAGATAATATTTATTGAAATAATAAAATAATAAAATAAAATAAAAAAAATAAAATATTTAAATTTCTTTTTCTATATTGCTAATTGATTTGTGATTAGGGCTACTAATATTAGAATTGGTGACAGTTTTACTAATGTTAACTCTTTTACATTTTCTAGAAATTCTCTTGAATTCATTTTGAATAGCTTCAGTGATTTGTTTAAGATTTGTTTCTACCGATAGTGTAACTTTGAGATTTGATAATTCTTTTAAATCATATACAATCCATTCTTCATTTTTTTCAGGTTCTATTCGTTGAGGAACTATACTATCAATAATAGAAAAATATATCGCTGTTCTATAAAGACAATTTTTTCTATCTGGAAATTCTTTATATCCTTCTTGAAGACAAATAAAAAAAGTTCATTTAATACAATATTCGTTTCTTCTAACACTTCACGTCTTACACAATCTTCAAAACTTTTATCAGGAGTTTCTTTTAATCCACAAATGGGTTGAATAAAACCACAATAATCTTTTGTTAGATTAATTTGTCTAGATAATCGAACCTTTTTAGTATCTTTTTCAACTAAAAAACATAATATAAATTCTCTAATATCTTCTTCATATCTATCTATAACTTTTCTATATTGTTTCATTAAATTCAAATTTATATCAATTTGAGTTTGAATTTGAGTATTAATTGTTTTAACATCGATAGTAAAACCATATTCATCAATAGATTTAACAGAATTTTTTAATGATAAGTAAGATGAGATTAAACTATTCAACATTTGATAATTAGTTTTTGCGGAGTTATATTCTTCCATGTTTAATATTATGCAAATAAATTTTTAATCAGTTAAAAAAATAACTGATTAAAAAATAACAAAATACAATATTTATATAAAAAACTAATTATTTATATTTTTATATAATCTTATATTAAATAATGCTTCTTTTTCTGTAATCAAATCGGAATCATCATCACTATTATTGATTTGTAATTCTTCATCGCTAAAAAAAATATTATTTTCTACTATCGTACCATTCTGTTTAGTAATATATGTCAAACTAAAACTATTTTTTTGAGCATCTTTTTCAACGAAACTATCATTTGTTGTATATGATAATTCAGTAAAGTTTAATTCTGAAGAAGAGTCTGGTGGATTTATAATAATATCATATATATATTTTTTATTTTCAGTTTTATTCAGTTTAATCAAAGATTTCTTTTTAAAATATCGTTGTGTTAAATGATAATTCAGTTTAGATTTTGTTAAACCTCTAGTGCTCTTTCGAGTAAGTATTGTTTTATTATTTGTTGTAAATAAAACTGTGTGAAAATTAAAACTTCCTCTTTTGCTTAATTGACATAAATTATTTTTTAATTTAGGCATTTTGCTCACATAAATAAATTTTTATTCGGTATTAAACTGAATAAATAAAATATATAATTTATAAAAAAAATAAATACAAAATATTAAAAAAAAAATTATTTATTATCTGATACATAATACGAATCTAATTCATTTTCTAGCTCTTTAATAGATTTCTTTAAATTTTGTATAGCTATTGTAGCTCCAACTTGAGGACCCTTTAAAGTCTTTTCTTTAAAAGCTTTTCCTTTAAAATAAAGATGATGTTTTCTCTTTTTTAGCATTAAATTTTCAATATTATCAAGTTTATTAACATGTGCTGTATAATATGTTAATAAATTTCTCATAAAATTTAATCTCTCTTTAGCTTCTGGAAATGCTGTTTCATACGCATATCTATCAACTTCACTTGAAAGTTTAAAAGGTTTCATCTCAATATAAGCTTCGATTGTTTTATTATTATTTTTTTGTTTTTTATTTGTTTGTTCATTTTCTTCGATATTTTCAACAGGGATGGAATCCTTTCTCTTATTTTGAATAACAATTGAAGACATTTTGTTATTACGCAAATAAAATTCTAGTTAGTCAACATATGACTAACTAGATTATAAATTTATTAATAATTTTAATAAAATATAAAATAAAAATAATAACAATAAAATGAATATATTTGTTATATCTAATATTAAAAATTTTATAAAATATTTGTTTTAAAATAGTATCTGTAACGTCAACTAAAGTTAAATTTGTTGTATCAATTATTGTAGAAACCTTTTTTGCTTCTTCAAGAAGTTTAAAGGAAGAGCTATCATGACTTAAAATATCTAAAAAAATAACATTTGTATTTGTTAAATTTAGTTGATATTGTTGTCTTAAAACTCTAGTATTTAAATTTGCAGATAAAACAATTTTAATTTTAGCATCAGGTAGAATATTAAAAGTCACATCTCTACCAATGACAACAAATTCTTTTTCATTTGTTATTTGACGAATATGTTGATTGATCAACTGATGCACATCTTGATTTTCTGATAGTTTCAAACCTTGTCTTCTGATTAAATAATAATCGTCAGTGTTAAGATTGTTAATTATTTTAGTAATATTATTAAAAGAATCATTGAGTTTTAAATTATTATTAAAAATTTCAAATATTGAGGAATTATTTGATTGCTAATAACTTAAATATCCCAAATAATAATAAAAAATTTCTGTATTGATAAATTGATATTGAAGTTTTTCTGCTATAAATTTTCCAACAGTTGTTTTGCCAGATGCTGTTGAACCATCAATCGCAATATTAATTTGTATCATTTCGATGTTTAACTAAATTTCTAATCAGTATTCAACTGATTAGATTTCTTCTTCCTCTTCTTCAATTATTGGATACAATGTTTGACCAAATAGATGTAATTGTTGTTTAATTTATTTAGCGATCGATAATAATTGTAAAACTTGATTTTCTAAAGTTATAGTTTTTTTTAAATCTGAATAATTATATCGAGTAGTTAATTTTAATATATGTCAATATTTATTTAAAAAATTTTGAAATGATTTAAAACTTTTAATATCAGTATTAGTGTATTCTTGAGTAATATTATTAAAATCAATACAAAATTGAATATGATTACACATTTTAATGAAATTTAATAATTAATAAAAGATAAAATTTTAAATATAAATATTTGATTCGATATAAAAATGAATTATTCATTACTGAAATAAAATTCTATTCGGTCGACAAAGACTAAATAGAAGGAGATTGTGGCTGATATTTTAGTTTATATTCTTCAATTTGTGTTATACAATCATTAACTAAAATATCAACATCTTTAATAATTTTTTCTAATTTCTTCTTTTTACCTTTTTTGAAAATATATTGTTTAAAATTTTGTAAAAGTTTCACTTCATCCTTATAAATCGTTATACCCATATCTTTAAAATTTTTTACCTAAAAAAAGATATCGTAATCTAGTTTATATGTTCGAAAATAGTTTTTAAATCTTATCAAAGAACCTTTTTGGTTAAGACGACTGAGTTTTTCTTCTTTCTGATATTTTTTTCAGGATCAACAGTTTGAAGTACCTTAAAATAATTACATCTTTTAAAGAAAGGACAATTATTATCATCGTGACAATTATCAAATTGCCATCGATGAGGATAAAATTCACAAATTTTTTTTCGATATTTACATTAAAAATAATCAAAATATTTGATATATTGACTATGTTCTAACATATAAAATTTTTCTTTTTGTTTTTTTTAGCATATGTAATAATATATGAATGATCAAAATCAATATTCCACCAAGAAATATTATTTTTTACAATAAAAGATTCATGAACAATTTTATATTTGATAGAAGAGAAACGAACAAAATGTGTTACAATATCTCTCGACATCTTAGAAACAAAATATTTCAAAACGAAACTTTTGTTTTTATGACTAGCTTACTTAGAAAGTTTGTAGTCGTTATCAAATCAAAGAATAATTCGATGCTGTTTCATAGTATTTTTTCTTGGTTTTTATAGATATTTTCATCATGGAAAAAAAAATTCTAAGTGTTTTAATTCCTTAGATATTAATTATTTTTCTATTTTTAGTTATGATATTTATGTTGGTTACTTTATATCTTATTTGGACAGAAATTCTTTTTATGTTGGTTACTTTATACCCTATTTGGATTTCTACTTGGAAATTCTTTTTATATTATTACTTTATATCATATTTAGATTTCTACTTAGAAATTCTTTTTATGTTATTACTTTATACCCGATTTGGATTTCTACTCAGAAATTCTTTTTATATTAGTTACTTTATACCATATTTGGATTTCTATTCGGAAATTTTTTTTATATTGAGTATTTTATACCTTATTTGGATTTCTACTCAGAAATTCTTTTTTATGTTGAATATTTTATACCCTATTTGGATTTTTACTTAGTTTTTATGTTAAGTACTTTATTTCTTATTTAGATATCTTCTATTTAAAAAATACATAATATTAAATTTATTTAATTTGTAAATTATTTACAAGATAAGAAATATCCATGAAATTCACAATTACTTTCATGCTAATTCCCTTAATACACATATTATTTGTGATATTTGCAATACAAATTATCTAATCGATACTAATTTAACAAACCTTAAAAATCATTTTTCTAAACATCATCGTCAAGAATATTATTTAGCAATAGAAAAACAAAAAGAAAGAAAAAAACAAATCAAAGAAATTAATTAAGAAAAAGAAAAAGAAAGAATTATTACAAAAAATATTAATAATCGTAATACTTTAATTACTCAAAATAATGAAACTTCAATTATTCAAGTTCCAAAACATGTTAGAGTTGAAGATTTTATTGAAGACGATTATATTACTAAAGAAGAAACTCAAGAAGTTATTTTAACTAGAGAGAATTCAAAATCTATTTGTCAAAATATTGATGTTATTAGAAAAAGAAAAATTAATAACAAAGAAAATAATAATAAAAAACAAAAAATTAATGTAATTAGTTTAGATACTAAAGATAGTATTATCGATTTAAATATTCAAAATGAGATTAATTTACGTATTATTGAGAAATGTACTTTAAATTTTAATTAATATTTCTAGTATATTAATAAAGATATATTTATATTAAATATTTTTGAAAATTTATAATCATTTGAGTATGTTTTTGGTAAAAGTTCAAGTACTTTGAATATTTTAAATATGTTTTTGGTAAAAGTTCGAGTACTTTGGATATTTTAAATATGTTTTTGGTAAAAGTTCGAGTACTTTGGATTTCGTCCAATCATATAACTTTATTTTAAATACCTTTTCAGTAAAAGGTCGAGTATTTGGATATTTTGAGTATGTTTTCGGTAAAAGTTCAAGTACTTTGAATTTCATCCAATCATATAACTTTATTTTGAGTATTTTTTTGGTAAAAGTTCAAGTACTTTGAATTTCATCCAATCATATAATTTATTTTGAGTATCTTTTCAGTAAAAGTTCGAGTACTTTGAATTTCATCCAATCATATAACTTTATTTTGAGTATTTTTTTGGTAAAAGTTTGAGTACTTTAAATTTCGTCCAATCATTTAACTTTATTTTGAATATCTTTTCAGTAAAAGTTCGAATACTTTGGATATTTGAAAAAATACAAAATAATATAAAGTTTATTATAATAAAATTAATATAATAAATAATCGTAATAATTTTCTAGATTCGAAATCGACTATATATATTTAACCTTATATAGTTTACAATATAAATTTAAGTTATTAAACCAAATATCAAAATTAAAATATAATGTATTACATTGTATATTATTATATAAATAATTATATATATGTGTTTCAAGAAATTTAAAGCTATTTTCTAAACGAAGATTATTAATCTCTTTTTCGTTTAAATATTCTCTAAATTGTTTAAAATTTGTAAAAAATAAAAATTTATTTTCTTCTTGAATAATTAGATTTTCTTTTTCGATTAATGGTAATAGAGATTCAAAAGAATTTTTAATATCATTGATCGAATAAGATGATTCAATATCAACTTTCCAATCTTCGATGAATTCTTTTTTCTTATCTTTTTTTTTTTTTAATATTCTTTAAAAAAAATTTAATTTTTAAAAAAAAAGCTATATTTTTACTGTAAAAAAATATAAACAAACATTATATTTTTATAAAAATATTTAATATTTGTTATTAGAGGGTGTGGCAACTTAGTGAAGTAGTCTAGTTGTCACCCCACCAAGTAGCAGGTTGAGAGTTCGAATCTTACAAACAACGATTTTTGAATTTAATCCTGTGTTATGGTGACTATTGTCCATATTGGGGAAAAATACCTGTAACCCGTTGGCATACCAAGGATTGGCAATACCAGGACCTGGAAGATTTGGGGTATTGTGCAACCCTGTATGCCAAGGAAGTACAAGAAATGCTAGCCGGTTAAATCTATGATAAGTCCAACAAATCGGCGTATATGGGGATGATTATCAAATGATAGAAGTCTACTTGGGAAGTTCCGAATATAGTATTCATCACCGGGTATGCCTAGGGGGGGCCTGGCTTTGAAAGAATACAAACTGGTATACTGTGTCTTCTAGGCACACAATAGGATAAGCAGTATAAATACAAGATAAATCCATATAAGAGCATAAGCACTTGTATTTAGAAGTAGGACTAAATACTCGACTATTAAATTACATAAGCATTTAATTAACAAACAATCAAGCACACAATCAAACTACATACGAACATTTATACAAACACAAACTCCAACTATATACATTCTTTTATATATATATGAACACTAAGCTTACTATAGAGTTTCTTCTATAGACATGTCTAAAATTCGAGAATATAACATTAAAGGCCTGGATAATTGGGTCATGGGTGGTCTTTAAAACATCAGCCACCCCCGGAACCGGGTATACGGCAAGCGATTCTATAGAAGTTTTACTACTTTCTCAAGTACCAATTCATCTCACCCTATTGAGGAAATATACCATAACAAACTTTTTGAACTAAAACAATAATTTATTATAATATACTTTTTTACTACTTGACAACTTTAACTTTATTTTATAAAAACTTCAAATTTCAGCACCCTACCAAAATATAATTCTTTTATTCAAAATATAAAATGCTTTACTATATATATAATACTATTTCTACTACTATTTTACTCTTTTAAATCTCTTTATTGGGATTTAAATTCTCTTTTTCTATTAATTAAAAACAAACTTAATAACTTTTAACTTCAACTTATCTAAAAAGAAACAAACTACTCCCTATCTAAATATCTTTTAAACAACTCAATCTTGTAATTTAAAATATTCTTCTCTTCTTCTAAACCTTGCAAATTCTGCAATAATGCTAAATTTTCTCCTTTCAACATATTAAACTCAGCTTTTCACATATTATTAGCCTGATTCAAACTCATACACACCTCCAATATTCTATCTGAAAATGTTTCTAAAAAATTCTTACTTTCTAAAATATTATCTCTATCTTTTTTTAAAAAATTTAGTTCACTTTCTTTAAGCTACTTAACTCTGTAGTAATAGCCACCAAAAAAAACTTCATTTCTTTATCTTCTTCTTTCTCCTTGTCCTCAACAATATCCATACTTAAAACATCTTTGTCTATTTCTATTTTTTCTTCTTCTTTTCTCTTTTTCTTTTCTTTTTCTTTATTCTCTTTTTTATCTTTCTTTTCTATCTTTATTAACTGCTTATAATTTCTATAAAAACGTGTAGACTTTTGTATTCGTGGTATCTTTCTTCTTTTGTAAGTTACAATAGTGTTACAACTCTGATTATCACTCTATTTATATCGATTATCTTATGATCATCAATTTTCGAACATTCTTAAACCCTAAAATTTTCCAAATTAATACCTTGTTGATGTGAAGCAGTGATTCGAGTGGTGATTGTCTAATCAACAGTCTTAAGGTTCGAATCATGCCTAGAGTGGGCTTATACAGATATATTAGGGAAAACATATTAATATACCTGAGGCCTTAGGCCGCAACGATATATTCAAGGTATTATTTTTTGTTTTTATATTATTTTATTAATTTTACTTTATTTTTTCTTTCTACTATACTTTATTTGTTTTAAATTTAAACACTTTATTTCAAATCTACTTTCTAAATTTATAATTTTTTTATAGTTCACTTTTTTTAATAATTTCTTCTATAGACAATATTAATGCAACTACCGCTTCCAAAATAACGGTGTTCTCCACTAATAGTGGGCCATTTTTGGAAGAGAATGATGTAAGTAAGTGGGTAAGAAAGTCTATTTATATGGAAGAACCAATTAACGATAGTCAAACTCAATGTACAGAGCAGACTTGCATAGCCATGAAAGCCAGGCATATGGTGAGCGATTCTATAGAAGGAACCCAAAAAGTCTTAGCTTCCAATTCTTCAAACCTTGCTAAGACCCCTCTCCAAACATATTCTTTACAACATCCAAAAAAATTACTATTCCATCTATCTTTATAAACTCTTCATCATCTAAATCAAAACCTCCTAAAGATTCTACTTCTGAATATTCGAACAATGATAATATATCACTAACTACAAACACTATATTAGGCAAACCTAATAACCCTCCTCTTTTCAATTTACTTGATCTTTATGATCCTACTACATGTTATAACAAATTTCTATTTCATTATAAACTTCAACTTTTACCTACACCTCAAACAATTGCCTCCTTCACACATTTCATTAAATCAAACTATCCAACATTCTTTTCTAAACAATATATCAAAATTTCTATCCAGACAAAAAACTATAATCCTAAAGAAGCACACATATACTTACCACACGAAACCTCTCTTTTACCTAATTACTCTCTACTCTTCTTCAAAAATCTTATTAACTTTCAAAATACTCC